CTCACTGGGGGTGTGCAGACTCCGGGAGGGGCCCCTTACGGCCCAAGCACAATATCAAGCCACCTCGTGGCATCATCTCTCGGCACTCGGCCTCACATCACTCAAGCCACCTCGTGGCATATAAATGTATCTCAGGCTCTCGGCCTCATATCACTCAGCATATCCTCACATATGGCCCTCGGCCTCCCTCAGTCCGAAAATCATCACAAGCCCCTCGGGCATTAGTAAAACAGTAGTTCTCAGCCAAAACATCATTTAGAAATATCATTTGAGTTTCAAAATCTGAGTAAAAGTGGCTGATTTTGTAAAACAGTAGATATCAACAGGACTGATTTCAAGTAGTAAGTCAAAACAGTGAGGAAACAGTGATGAAAATCCCCGAAGGGTTCAAATAATTGGCACGAAGCCCAAATATGGCAATCAGCCCAAATCATGATGATAACAAATAAGTTTCAGTCAAATATGCGGTAAAATCATCAATCGGGACGGACCAAGTCACAATCTCCAGTAGTAAAAGACCCCATGCTCATCATCCAGCGCGTGTCTCCCCTTAATATAGCACTACGATGTGCAATCCGGGGTTTCAAACCCTCAAGATATCATTTACAATCATTACTCACCTTGAACTGGCGAAAACTCTAGCTCGCGACGCCTTTGCCCTCAAATCGGCCTCCACGCGCGTCGAATCTACCCAAAATCAGAACGAATACATCACAATATGCTAAGGGAACAAAGCCCAAGCGAAAACAATCAATAACGGGCACAAATCCCGAAATTTCCAAAATCCGAGCCCCGGACCCACTTCTCGAAACTCAGAAATTTTCACATCAATAGATTCCTTATCTTCCCACGAGTACATATCAAAAGTTCTTAAATCCGACCTCAAATGGTCCTTCAAATCCCAATTCAAAAGTCCAATTTCTCAAGCCCTAGTTTTCTTCAATTTTAGGCTTAGTTTCCATGAATTTCTAGGTGGATTTCACAATAAAAACGAGTTTTAAGACCAAGATTCTTACCTCACGTCGATTCCTCTTGAATCCCTCTTTAATTTCCTTCAAGAATCTCCAAAAATGAGCAGCTATGGGTGAAAATAGACCCACATTCGCGAACAAGATGACTTTAAAAATATTCTGCCCAGGCATATTTCCTTCTATGCGATCGCGGGAAAACCTTCGCGATCGCGAAGCACAAAAACTCAACTCCCAGAATTAACCCTATGCGAACGCAACAGATCCCGTGCGAACGCAATGCACTGCCAAATTACACTATGCGATCGCGGACCACACTCCGTGTTCGCGATGAACACATTCCAACTAAGGCCTCAAGTTCACTTTACTCTATGCGAACGCGGCCTTCCGCACGCGTTCGCGATCAACAATTTCACCCAGCTATGCGATCGCATCCCTACTTGTGCGAACGCGAAGAACAAAAAAAATGGATTGCCCCCAAAAGCTTCTACGCGATCGCAATAGCACTTATGCGATCGCAATGAACAAAATTACTGCAACTGAAGCCTGCAATTTCTGCTTTCTTTTAAGGCACAAAATGGTCCGATTGACCATCCGAAACTCACCCGAGGCCCTCGAGACCTCAACCAAACATGCCAACATATCCCATAACATCATTCAAACTTATTCCAATAATCAAAACACCTCAAACAACATCAAATTACCCAAAACTCATTGAATTCAAGCCTAAGTTTTCTTAGAACTTCCGAAATACACTTTCGATCAAAAACCCGGCCAAACCACGTCCGAATGACCTGAAATTTTGCACACACATCCCAAATGATATAATGAAGCTACTGCTACTCTCAGAATTCCATTCCGACCTCTATATCAAAATCTCACCTATCAAGCGGAAAACGCCGAAATCTCACTTTTGCCAATTCAAGCCTAAACCTTTTATGGACTTCCAAAATGCATTCCGATCACGCTCCCAAGTCCCAGATCACCAGCGGAGCTAACCAAATCATAAAAATTCCGATCCGAGCTCATATACGAATAAGTAAACTCTTGGTCAAACCTTTCAAATTCAAAGCTACAATTGAGAACTGTTCTTTAAATTTCATTCCGATTTTCCTGAAAACCAAAACCAACGATCTACATCAGTCATAATACATTACACGGGGCAAGTCATGCCGCGAACTGGCGATCAAAGTGCAAAAGCTCAAAACGACCGGTCGGGTCGTTACATTATCAATATTGATAAACTTCAGATTTACACCATGACGTGTGCAATTATCAATAAACTCCAAGTTTATTATGATATGGGTTTTTATATCAATAAACTTCTCTTTATTGTGACATTCTTTTGTTTGTATAGTACAAACTGGAGAATAAAGCGGGTAGCTTTTCACATACATATTACCCCGCTACAAGTTGTAGTAATAGAAGATATTAAACCTTTCCTTTATTTATAGTCTCAATATAATCAACCGCTTTCGCGTAACTTTAGAAACTGAATAAGTTTCTTTGAGACTTACTACAACACAATACCTTATTGGTAATCAATTGTGTTTCTTCAAAATAGTATAATTGGCTCTTGCAGAGTTCTAAATTAATTTTGTAGTACCACATATTCATCAACATCTATATGGTGAATATCTCTTTGAAAGAGAAAGTTATACCATTATGGTCATGGTCAAAATTATATGCGAGATATGTTTCTTGCATTATTGTTGTCCTTTAATAATCACATTGCCAAAATATTTTGGCGTACAATAGGTACGTGACCAATGACCATTCATGCCATAATAATGACAGTGATTTCTTATATCATCTCAAACCTCCTTCTAGAGGTGAGTGTGGTATATTCACTACCACTAGCATGTTCATATTCTTCCAAAAATGAATATGTATTAATAAATCACATGTTGTCACATTCACATCATGAATGGATCATAATCATCTATATGTGCTTTATAAAATCTCATGTCGAATCGATGACAAATATTAATTTCACAGAGTGAATGATTATTTTGAGAATCCTTATTATTCTCATTATCACAATGATGACGATTATAATTTCGTCTATTGCCACGTCCACATCCATTGATACATTCATAGTGATAATTTTGTCTTCTTTCAGACTTATCACACACTGCTATCACATTTCTCTTAAGGGAATGAGAATGGAGCAAATTCAATGGGACGGGTGGTTATAATTTCTTACGAACTCCATTAGAGTATCAAACCTTGTTGTCTTTGCTTGTATATAAAATCAAATTATAGAATTTCAAGAATTTAAAAGAGAAAATAAAGTAAAATACTTACCTTAAATCCAGAATTTAATCATGAAGGAAGTTCATGGAATAATTGACAATCATTATGCTCAATCCCAAAGCTTCTACTCAATTGGTTAGAGTCTCGTGCTGGTAACGTGTTATAAAATAATAAAAGAAGAAGAAGAGTAGTGCAGAGAAAAGTAGAGGGAGAGAATTCTTATTGATTTGGGATGATTTACAATGGAATAGAATCCTCTATTTATAGGGAGAGGGTGACTTAGCTACCAAATAATAAACCCTAGAATCTCTCTAAATATAGACATTCACCATAAATAAAATTCTATTTATAACAGAAATTAAATTCATGTTCGAAAAAGATGCTTATTTGCATTCAGTGTCTTCACAAAATTAAGCATGCATTTTTTAGTGATGAAGGTGTATATTTACTCAAATTTGATGTTATATAATCAAACAATTTAACTTTAAGATTTAAAAATTAAATTTAAAATATATATTATTTAGTTCTCTTTAAGGCGGAACACTCCCCTACCGATGTATTTTTACATCTTACAGCTTGGGCCGCTTAGTCTCGTTCATCTTCGGTGCAAGAGCATTCTATAAGTGAGCTATTACACACTCTTTCAAGGGTGGCTGCTTCTAGACAAACCTCCTGGTTGTCTCTGCATCCCTACCTCTTCGACGAAGAGGCTTGTCCCCATCGTCTCACTATCCGATCTTGACCCCTGTTATTTTGAGGTCATATCTATAGTTAAAATGATAAATATGTGTATACAAAATTAATTTGGTATAAACACCAGAAAATAGAGATAAACAAAAAAAAAATGTATACTTTTGTTACAGCATAAAGAGACGTGTTAGGCAGCAGACAAATTGAGAAGACAAAGCTCTAAACTTTCATCAAATCATCATTTGCACTCTATTAATTGAATAATCACTCACATAATTTTTAGTACTCCCTATTAAATAATCTTTCATTTTTATATATTTCTAAAAATATATTAAACAACAAGACATATATAAATAAACAAATAAAAACAGAAGAAGAAACAAACAAAATAATATTACCAATCAATCCTTCTTCTCTCTCTGTCCTCCTTGCTTTTCCACAACACAAAATTAAGAGCCTGTTAGGACATAAGAAAATTTTTTCCTTTGATTCAAAAAAATTTCATTTTTTTTCGAAATCAGCGTTTGTTCATAAAATTTCCAATTTTCAATTGAAGATGCATTTTGAAAAATTTTAAAAGTTTTCTCCAAAAAACGATTTTTTAAAATTTTCACTCAAATCACTCCAAAACTTTAAAAACAACCCAAAATTATATTCATGTCCAAACACAACTCTTCAGATACCATTTTCATTTGAAATTTTTTTTAACTTTTTTTTTGTAATTTTACAATTCTTATGTCCAAACGCCCACTAAGAGCCCGTTTTGCCATGAAATTTTTTCACTTTTTTCGAAATTTTTATACCTTTTTTGAAAATCAGTGTTTAGCCATAAAATTTTTAATTTTCACTTGAAAATAAATTTTGAAATTTTTAAAAATTTAAAAATTTCCAGAAAAGTTATTTTTTAAAATTTTCACTTAGAACTCATAAAAATTTAAAAACAACCCAAAATTATATTCATGTCCATACACAACTCTATTTTCAATAATTTTCACTTAAAATTTTTTTTCCCCACTTTTTTTTCCAGAATTTTACAATTCTTATGTCCAAAGGCCCACTAAATGTTTTTTTTTCCCACAAAATTAATTGTTATTTTTCTTAAAATCTCTCTCTCTCTCTCTCCTCAATCTTAGCTCATTTGTCCCTTCTCTTTCATTTTCTCCATTGCCAAGAATTCTTGACCCTTCTTTGATTCATCTGTCAAACAGAAACAAGGCCAAAAAAGAAAAAGAGAACCCAAATACACATTTTTAGTTTGTACATCTGGGTTTGCAGAAAGATTTAATTTTTCTTAATCAATGGGGTGATTTTGCTCATAAAGAAAGGATTTTTATTCCTTTTTTGAGTATTTTTAGATGATGGGTGTTTGTATTTATCTAAGGATGTAGCTGGAAAATAATTTTCTTGAATCTTGATCAATATTTTTTAGGCCTTTCATTGTAAAGATAGGATTTTTATTCCTTTTTTTCTTGTTTTTAAATTCAAAGTTGTGAACTTTAACAATGGATTCTTGATTTGATGGGGTTTTTGATTCTTGGATTTTCTTGGTTTTTTGGGGGATTAATCTAAGTGGGGTGAAAATCTGAGTAAAATTTTTTATTTTGGCTTTGAAAATTGTTGTTGGTGAAAATTTTGAAGTGGGGTTGTTGAATCTTGAATCAACATGGATCATGTTGTGGGTGGGAAGTTTAAGCTTGGGAGGAAGATTGGGAGTGGCTCTTTTGGTGAGCTTTATTTAGGTATGTGTATGTCACTTGGTTGATTTTGATTTTATGGTCAACTCCGTTTCCTTAAATTTTGATTTTTCTTTGTGTTTTTAGTGTAGTTTTTTAGCTATTGTTTTTGTGTTTCTTATGTCTTTCTGTTTGTTGTTGCTTTTTTGGTTCAGGTGTGAATATACAGAATGGAGAAGAAGTTGCCATTAAGCTGGTATTGGCTTTTGCTTCTTAGTGCTTGGTTCATTGTTTGGTTCATTCTGTTTAGTTGTTTCTTTGTTGTTGTGTTATGCCTATGTAGAGATTTGTGTGGAAGTTAGAGAACCTTCAGTTTTAGAGAACTGTTAAGATAAATTATGTAGTATTGGAATGAAATGAGCCGGAATATAGGGGAATAAATGCAGATGATTCATACTCATTTGAACGAAAAGATGATTCATATAGTCGACCCCAACTAACTTGAGATTGAGCTGTATTTTATTGATTGAATTGTTGATATGACATTTAGCTCGTCTTTTTAATACTATTAGAGTTATAGCAGTAAAATGTTAAGAAGCAACTACTCTCCTGATTCTGCATTGAATTTACGGATGGTTATTGTTTTGCTCTTCCTAAATCTAAAATCTTACATAATATAATGCTTTCCTACTTAGTGGAACGGTTCATCTCATCTTATTACCGCAAATATCAGGAATCTGTCAAGACGAAGCACCCTCAACTTCATTACGAGTCAAAAATATATATGCTTCTCCAAGGAGGAAGTAAGTCTTTCTTCATGTCCTTTACATATCCCCAGCTTTCTATTAATGATGAAACTGCTTTATATGCTACTTGTTGGAAGTTCATACTCACATACCCCTTCTTCGCTAATTATTAGCTTGAATGGGCCCTTTTAATTTCTTGATAGGCTATTTTCGGTCCACTTTTATATGATTTCTGTTCTGATTAGAAAATATTTGTTAGAGTGGAAGTAGCAACCAATTAGTTCTATGTGTTTCATCTAATCAAAAAACTTTAGGGATGGAAATTTTATGTATAGAAAATTGACTACTCATCTCTGCCATTAATTATGAAGCCGGGATTCCCAACCTCAAATGGTTTGGAGTTGAGGGCGAGTACAATGTAATGGTTATTGACCTTCTTGGACCGAGTTTGGAAGACCTCTTCAACTATTGCAATAGGAAGTTCTCTTTGAAAACAGTTTTAATGCTTGCGGATCAACTAGTAAGTAGTTCATTGTCATGCCACTTCTTTCATAGATTAGCTTTTTATATTACTATTGAGCATGAGTCTGATGTAATACTCTTGCTCTGTGTCATTTTCAGATCAATAGAGTTGAGTATATGCACTCAAGAGGATTTCTTCACCGTGACATAAAGCCAGACAACTTTTTAATGGGCCTAGGTCGCAAAGCAAATCAGGTATTTGTTCATGCTATTTTTATTCTTGAATGGGAAATGCAATTTAAAGCGAACATTTACCTTATAAAACTGTGAAACAATTCTATCTATTGTGCTTCAATGTTTGTGATACCCTTACGGCCTTACCAAATATTAGTGCTGAAGCTAAGGGCTTCAAGTGAAAAGGATATGTTGCAGAATATGAAAGATGTTATATTGCAATAAAACTGATTCTATACACGAATAACAGGTTTACGCGATCGACTTTGGGCTTGCCAAAAAGTATAGGGACCTACAGACTCACAAGCATATACCATACAGGTACTGTCTGTTTTTTTCCTTTCTTTTTTTTCACTTTATATATTGAGAGAATCTAGAATTAGAGAACCCAAACTATTGAACATTGGAATGAAGGGGGTTCAATGAAGCAAAATGGATAATGAAGATTCACATAGCCGACCTGGACTAGCTTTGGGTTGAGGCATAAATGATTTTGATGCTTTCTTCACTTTAGGTGAAAGGCCTGCTTAGGACTAAGTACAAGCAATGGTGGCATTTAATGCAGAAGTCAACATATCTGGAGATTCTTTCATGAAAAATTAGCAAGGAAATATTTGGCAAATGCCTTCTTAGTACAGCATTGTTGTAGTGGTGGAACGCGCTTAGAATAATTTACTCTCTCTCTCTCTCTCACACACACACACACACACACACATATATATATGTTAAACATTTGCATTTTCAAAACAGTAAACTCACAGTTAACAAGTTTACCGTCAAAGAAAATTCTATCTGGCTTTCAAAAAGCTCAATGACATTCTATAGGTGGTGATAGGATTACTGAATCTAATTAATCTTTATGTAATATACTACCAAGAAATTAGTGTTCAATTTCTAGTAAGGTGTTTATGATATCAAAAACATTAAAGAGGGGGGCCTCGTGGAAGAAAATTTAGTATCATTACTAGTATTTCGGAATTACTCAAAATACATATAGTTACTAGACTACAGAAATGAATTTATCTCTGAAAATGGGATTTCATGTACATTTAGATTAGTAGAGTATCTCAGGTCATCGCCAAGAGGGATAGTTTCAGATATCTTGGGTCGGTGATTCAGGGGGACGGAGAGATCGACGGGGATGTCACTCACCGTATAGGGGCGGGGTGGTCGAAATGGAGGCTTGCATCAGGAGTCTTGTGTGACAAGAAAGTGCCACAGAAACTCAAGGGGAAGTTTTATAGAGCTGTGGTTAGACCTGCCATGTTGTATGGGGCTGAGTGCTGGCCGGTGAAGAACTCCCATGTCCAGAGAATGAAGGTTGCGGAGATGAGGATACTCAGGTGGATGTGCGGGCTCACCAGGTTAGATAAGATTAGGAATGAAGTTATTCGGGAGAAGGTGGGGGTGGCCCCAGTAGATGAGAAGATGCGGGAAGCGAGGCTCAGGTGGTACGGGCATGTGCGGAGGAGAAGCCCCGATGCCCCGGTGAGGAGTTGTGAGCGGCTGGCGGTGGTTGGCGCGAGTCGAGGCTGAGGGAGGCCCAAGAGGTATTGGGGAGAGGTGATTAGGCAGGACATGGCTAGAATGCGGATTTCCGAGGACATGGCCCTTGATAGGAAAGTCTGGAGGTCTAGTATCAGGGTTGTAGGATAGGTAGGGGCTTCTAGAATTTTTCGTACTTCTGTCCCGGGGCTGGGGGGGGGGGGGGGGGTTGGTAGGGCTCTCCATAGATGATCTGTGTATTGTATTGTGCCCCCTTATGGTAGTTACTGGTCGATATATTTGCATGCCATTTTAAGCTTATCGCCAAATCTCTCTTCTATTACGAAGACCGCCCGGTCGTGAAGCTTATCCAGGAGATGTTTTTTATTTGCATTCACGCCTTTTGGAAAGACCGCCCTTCCTTATTATAGGAATAACTTCCCGACTCTACAGGCACGTGAAGTTCAGTGATTCCCGGGTGGGGATCACGAAGGGTTAAAATAAAAAGAAAGAATTCGTTGCTTCAACCTCTTTTCTCGTGGTAGGTAGGAGAGACAGTAGAAGGGGGATGCCCTTTAATTAAGCAAAGAACACACGGAAGCTAGACAAAAACAAAAAACAAAAGAGCATTAGTAATTACCCTCCCCAGACCCCGCCTTGTGGGACTATACTGGGTAGTTGTTGTTGTTAGATTAGTAGAGTATGAAATTCAATTCATCTTCCACTGTATCCCTTTCAGATTCTTGTAGCCAATTTTTTTCTTGTTTCCAAGTGTTGGTTGAAACGAAGAATCTTCAGAAAGTTCTTCACGATTGATGGCCTTTGCAAATGTTGATTGTTTGAACTGGCACTACTAGATTGTGTTACCTTCTAATCATAAAATCTTATGTCGATGTCGATCTAATTTTGGTTTTACTCTTTGTTTCTTTCCTCTAAATTGTGAATTTGTATCTGGACTACCTTTGATACGTTTTCTTTTTCAATATTTGTCCAGAGAAAACAAGAATCTGACCGGCACAGCTCGTTATGCCAGTGTCAACACGCACCTTGGAGTTGGTAGGTGTATATCATTTAGGTTGTCAAATAACTAGGGGCACTACTGAAACTGAAGCTTTAGAGTCATTTACATCTCATTAATTGTTGTTTTTCTTCTTTTTTTTCCTGGACAGAGCAAAGCAGAAGAGATGATTTAGAATCTCTGGGCTACGTGGTTATGTATTTTCTTAGAGGAAGGTTGGATTTTAGGGGTTTCGCCTTTTCGTTTTAGCATCTCTCTGTTTCTTCCTAATGTAAATTGGAGACTTGTTCGCTGACCTCCGACACCTTCTTCTTGGTTTAGCCTTCCATGGCAAGGACTGAAAGCTGGTACCAAGAAGCAGAAATACGACAAAATCAGTGAGAAGAAGATGTTAACTCCAATAGAGGTACTTGTTATGATCATCAGAGTCCGTCATCACCTTTTGTAAATTACGAGAGCATCTGTCATGACACCTCCAGCCATCCTTATGTCTTATTATCTTGTTGAGCTATGATGGAAATTCTTCACTACAAGCAATGAGGTAATTAACACATGATTCAATTTTACTGTAACAGGTGTTATGCAAATCCTATCCATCAGAATTTATATCATACTTCCACTATTGCCGATCATTACGATTTGAAGATAAACCTGACTATTCATATTTGAAGAGGCTTTTCAGAGACTTGTTTATCCGTGAAGGTAAATAATACTACTGCTCTTTTCTTTTACATATTTGGGTTCAATGGTTGTCTGTTTGTAACTACTCGATTCTTGTCTTTATTTGATATGTATTCTGCTCTCTTAACCTTATTCTTTGACATTGCGTCAGGTTATCAATTTGACTATGTTTTTGATTGGACCATTTTGAAGTATCCTCAGATCGGTGCCAGTTCTAGAGGACGAGTTAGTGCTTGTCAAACTTTCCTTTCAATTATTACTTTTCACTCTTCTCGCTTATTATGAACAATAGTCATGCATTCTCTTGCTACCAGGCTCCTGGTGGAACTGCCGGACTAAACGCTGGGCCATCTGCTGAAAGACTAGGAAGGACAGGTATCATATTTGAACAAAGTAGTAAATAAAACCGTTGCTACTGACAAATTATTGTCAATTGACGCTTGACATGTTTTGCTTCTGTAATCCAGTTGGACAAGATATTCGAGACAGGTTTTCTGGTGCTGTTGAAGCATTTTCGAGAAGGAATGCTTCGGGTACGGGAAGGCATGGGGAACATTCCAGACACAAGACTTCAGAGGATATGACTTCATCTAAGGATGTGGTATTGATCGTTCCCTCTTTTCAATTGTGTTTTGGAGTTGGTGCTGTTTTAGTTTGCCTTATTTGTTCCTGCTCCATTTAGTAACTAGCTGATCTGTGTATTAAAAAAAAAGTAATAACTAGCCAATGTATGAATCAATAGTTTAGCTTCTCATTTATTCCTGCCTTAACCCTTACTCTTCCAAAATAGTACTAGTAGAATAACTATGCCTCATTCCTGAACAGAAACTGTCGTAGAAGAGAAATTAAATTTATTAAATAATAGTAGTTGCATATATTTTTCCTTTATGGTATGATCCCAAATACTAGCATTTAGCCGGGGCGAAGCTACATGTGTTAAATGGGGTTCAATTGCTCCACCCCCACCCCCACCCCAAACCCAAACCCCGGAAAATCATACTATGCAAATAGGATTAAACAATTATTTTATATATATATATATATATATATATATATATATATATATATATATATATATATATATATAT